ATCCTCTGCCCCCGTCGGGAATCGAACGATTATACTACATATAAGGACAGAAAAATGCATGTAAAAAAATCTGCATGAACCTGAATAGTCTCCAACTTAAGATTTTTTGCATGGAAGGCCAGCACCTTTAAATCAAGACACTAGGTTCCTTAGAAAGATGTACAGTAGAGGTAATAGAAATCTCACTTGAAATATTTCGAGTAAGTTGTCTCCTCTGGTGTCCACCACGGTTGTGCTCGGAGTCTATTGACATTATACAAGGAACGTTGATACTTTGACAGGAACAGCCCCTCCCTCACTCCCAGGTCATAAATCTGCAGAAAAATATCAAAGAAACAATTCATGTTACAACCAACAAATTAACCAAGTAACAAGGTAATAAACTTTCAAACTATAAATCAACCTCTTCTTGGAATTATTCATATTCAGCTGGTCAAAACATTTCTTGACTTGAAACCACAGGGATCATGATAAATGTCAACAAATTAGAAAATGTACATATGCTACAATAATTTTCATGTTTTGCCAGAATTTGAACTTTGACCTCTGTGAATGAACCAGTCACTTCTAAGCATGAAAATGCACGCAGGGCTTCAAGTAAAATGCCCATTATTGTTGTCCAATCCCAACTAAAACTGGAATGTGCCAATATATTTTGGTAAATTATATCTATGACTGTCCCCCCACAAATGTTCACCCAACTTTCAGACGTCAGAGCATGCAGAAACAATTAGCAAAAAGGAGCATGTGTGGCCAGCAAAAACCTGATTATGATGATTATAATGAACTGCATGCCACATTTTCTTGAACAAAGGTTACCTAATACACAAGCATCATAGTTACCAACACTGATAATGAATGCAATATGAGTGAAAAGGGCTTAAAAATTGTTGTTAGTTCAAAGTCAGTTCACCTTGCCAGCCTCTTCATGACGGCCAAGTCTCGTGAGGGCATCACCTAAATGGAAGAAGAAACGTCCATCAAGGGTGCCTGGTTCCCTTGTAGCAATGCCCTGCGTCAAGTAATCTACTGCAGCCTCATTATTGTTGTCGCTAGTCTTGAGGATAAAGCCATAGTGAACCTGAGCAAACCCATTTTCTGGCCAGCGCCTCAGAGTGTCCTCCAAAATGTGTTTTGCATCTGCTAGCCTGCATACCCATAATAAAACACTTCAGAGTCATTTACTTCAAGATTTATAACCAACAAATCTTGAATGATGTTAGTCAGCAGTTCTATATTTTAGGTCCTCAAGACGTCAAGTTTTATTCTAATATTAAGAAAGTCATGAGAAAGTTCACGTAAAGTGAACAGATAGCTGACCGTTATCTACACTTAACGAAAACACATGACTGCGACTTTTATGCATTCCTTACTTAACACGGAAATAGTTAAAGCATAATGTTGAGGTCATGTCCGTTCCTTCAAATGTTATCTGGGATACTATTTTGCAGATGTTAAAAGAATCTGATACTTGTGGTAGGGATTACATGTTGTTATGTTAATTTCATTTTGACTAATATGAGTTCAGTACTACCCCTACTTTACACAAAAATCACACATCACTTTATCAGATTTCTCAATATTCATTCATCACACAAAAAAACTGGGCTACAACATAAAA